GTCCCAGAATGCAACGCACCGCGGGGGCGGGCTTCCGCCTTACCTGCCGCGAGCTGATCCCACCGGCTACTACCGCTCTCCCCCTCCCCCGCTCCCGTCGGCCTCCTTTCCGCAGGGAAAGGCTACTTTCTCTCGAAGCACGTGAGCAGGAGCCGTAGCGACCTCAGCCTCGAAGCTCTTCGCGTCCTCGCTCGCTCTTCCTCGCCCGAACTATGCCTGACTCCCTCACCGGAGTCGGGTAGTGTACGCGAGAGCGCGCAGCCCTTGGAAGCCAAGGCCGGGGCCACCCGGTCGCACTTCCGCCTCCCGGGCTCCGGAAGGTAGAGCGCACGCGCTCCCGGCGACTCCGGCGCAGTTGACTTCCGCTCCCACTGTGCTCCGCGAGCCGAATCATGGATCACACTGGTAAGGAGGCGGAGGCAGTGGGGGGTCCCGGTACCAAGCCCCCTTGGCCGGCCTGGGACTGTTCGCCCAGCGGGCACCGGGGGGTTGTGCTCGCCCTGCAGCGCTGGGGTGTGGCGGCGAGAGAGGAATCTCACGGAACCCTCCCCGTGCCCGGCAAGCGCCTGCTGCTCCCCGGCCTACCCTCCGGTGTGGTACCCACAGCCTCGGTGCCGGCAGTAGCCGCTGCTGATCCAAGGTTCCGCTGAGCCCCGAGCCAGAGCTGCGGGCGGCGCGGGCCCTGCCCTGCCTTATGGGGACTGGCGGGTAGATTGCAATCTCGGAGTCGGGGAAGCCTCGGGGTGCTCGGGAGTTGATGCGCGAGCGGGGGCTGGAGACTTCCTGCTGTCTCCGTCCGCTTTGCGCGGCTGCTCCCGCGGTCTCCGCCGGTCCTTCGTGGACTGGAGGTGGGAGAAGGGAATCAGAGGTGGCTTTCGGAGTGATACTCGGATCGGCTTTTCCACCCAGACCCCAAGCATGCTCCGTGCGTCGGCTGTGGTCCTTACTCATCATTTGGGTACATTTACAAAGGAGAGCTTAAAATCAAGACGTTCACATCCCTTTCTCCACGTGATGGCTCCACTCTTCGTTATGTTTTTTTGTTTTGTTTTGTTTTTGCTTTTGCTTCCTTGTGGCATTTGGTTTGGAGTTAAAAAGCGCTCCATAGAGTTGTGTCGATCATGTGGCAAGGAGGGAAAATGGGTTTTTCCCTGTATGAAGTGTTGGTTGGGATGTCTTCAGTGATCAAATATATTTATATGCCAGATACCTGTAGGCCTGGAGATGGAATGATAGAATGGTAAACAAGACGGAGTAAGTTATTGCTGTCATAGGGATTACATTCTTTTATAAACTTTAAAGACCCCCAATCTTACAGATCATAAGTTCTTTGAAGACAATAAGCGGATGCTGTAGTGAAGACTAACTGGGAGGGCCCTTCAGAAGGCCTTTCTGTAAGGGTTACATTTATAATTTGATGACGAAGCCAGCTGTGGAATAAATCTGGAGGACAGCAAGTACAAAGACAAATAGGAAAAAATAGAGAAGACCAGTTTGCTGCAGCTTAGTTATTAGCAAGAGGGAAAGAGCTCTAGGCTGAGATTGGAAAGGAGGGTTGGAGTCAGCCTGTGCAAGACTTTGAAGGCCATTGCAAAGATTTGAATTTTAAGTGCAATATTGAAGCCATTGAACAGAAGTGAGGAGAGACATAATCTTTTAAAAGTATAATAGGTTCTATGGAGAATGGTATAAGAGAGGGAGGTAAGAATAATAGAAAATAGACAATTTAGGAGGTGATTGCAGCAAACTAGAAGGGAGGCTTGGTTTAGTAAAGGTGGCTCTGTTTATTGAAAATGGAAATGGGTAGATCCAATAAATATTTCGGGGTTAGTACTTAAACACGTACTGATGGGTTGGTTTGGATGTATGTGAGAGAAAGGAGAGATGCCTATGTTTTTGGTTTGAGTTGGGAAAAACGTGGGAGAAAAACAAACTTTTTTTAAGGGGTAGAGGTGATTCATGGGAATTTGGGAACAAGATTTTGGACTGCTAAGTAAGAGATATACATTGAGAGTCATGCAAGGGGAGATGTCAAAAGAAAGATTTGAGCTGAAAAGCACGTATTTGGGACTTGTACTGCAGAGTTGATATTTTAAGATCTGAGGATGGACAAGATCACTTAAGGAAAGGGAATACAGAAGAGAGGAGGTCCTAGACCCCAGGCTCTAAGGAACACTCAAACTAGTTTGGAAATACAGACTTGAAAGTCTGGAATCTTGATGTTAGAGTAGTAAACATCCAAGGTTAGCAAAATATTTCTCATTTGAGCCTATTACTGGAAATGGAAGTCAAACCCCATCCACAGTTTAGAGAATATTATGTTAAATTATAATATGGGTGGGTGTGTACTGATTATTTGGTATCCTAATTCTCCTAAATTAAAAAGTTGCTTAAGAAAGTGAATGTCATCCTAACATGAAAATATTCACCAATGAGCTGACCACTTAAAAAATTAGTTCCTACTAGATAATCCCTGCTGCTTAACACTAGCTTCTTTTCTATTCTTGTAGTTAATATTGTTATATCCTTTATGTTTCATATCAGGCAGCAGTATCAAATGCTTATATAGATTGTGATTACAAAGCTTACGAAAGAATCAGGTTTTCATGAAATTCATAAACTATTTGAGTCACAAATAAAGTCATGGGCAAGTGAGGAAATACCTGTTAGCCAATTAATTGAAGACATTATGACATGGTAGGCATCTCAGAAGAATGATTTTAATAATAAAGGATTAAGAGATGCCCTTGAAATTGATGAAACCCTAGAATTTATACAGAAATGAGATTTTATGATCACGCTGAAAAAGTCATATAATGAAGGCTACCCTGTGGTGCCCTAATAGAATTTTGCTGGTAAAATTACTCTAAGAAACTTCTAGTTAACACTTGATTCATTCTTTCCTCATTCTAAGAATTAGCACTTAGTTGTAACTAGCCTAAATTTTGTAAAGTATTTCTTGGTTCCTTTAAAATTCTAAATATACTTCAAAAAAACACACCTATCTTCTACACTAATAAAAGAGAAACATGGTAATTGGCGTACGAGCTACCCTTCCCATTGGCTAATCAGCATATCCTTATGCAAATTAACTGTCAGCCAAGATGGCGGCACTCATGGGCAAGTGAGGAAATACCTGTTAGCCAATTAATTGAAGACATTATGACATGGTAGGCATCTCAGAAGAATGATTTTAATAATAAAGGATTAAGAGATGCCCTTGAAATTGATGAAACCCTAGAATTTATACAGAAATGAGATTTTATGATCACGCTGAAAAAGTCATATAATGAAGGCTACCCTGTGGTGCCCTAATAGAATTTTGCTGGTAAAATTACTCTAAGAAACTTCTAGTTAACACTTGATTCATTCTTTCCTCATTCTAAGAATTAGCACTTAGTTGTAACTAGCCTAAATTTTGTAAAGTATTTCTTGGTTCCTTTAAAATTCTAAATATACTTCAAAAAAACACACCTATATAATATAAAAGTGTTATTCCTTGTTAAAGTGGGTTAACCTAAAATGGCCAGTTATATCCTTAGTTGTCACTTTCTTTGTAATATCCAAAGACTTTTGTTATTATGGGCTTTGTGTTTTTAGTTGTCATATTCAAAAGGAAATTGTTCTGTATGTTCTGATTCTTAAACCAAAAAACCCAAGACAGACCCAGAATGAGCAGGCAGTGATATATTAAGAGGCAGCAGGCTCTTGAAAGTATTGGTAGACTAAGTAAGTATCAGTAGTGACTTCAAGTGTTCAGGGTGATGATGTCAAAAGGACTTGGAATGTTGGCATTTTGATCATTCACCAAGGTAAAACCATTAAGAGTCCTTTAAATATCTGAAGGGAAAATTTGAACTGTTAACTCTCTGTCTACAACTTGCTTTTTAATTATTGGAAAATTAGGAATACCTTTGAGAAAAAAAATCATCTGTCATATCTGTCTTTTGGCAATTACATTGCTTGTAGGTAGTTATACTTAAATAAGCAGCTAATGTGAAAGCTGATGAAATACATTATTCAACTCAACACATTTAGTGAAGTGTTGAAAGTTGATCAAGTTGGGTTTATCTGAACTCAAGATTTTAGCTGTCCATGTAATTCCTTTTCCATGAATTTTGTAAGTAATAGTAGAAATGAGAATGAAAGATATTTAAATTATTAAGGACCTCTTTTGAGTTTTGTTCTACATATTTTTCAGAAAGACTATAAATCATTATTGTGAATTTAATTTGTAATCCTACTAGCCTTGTAGGTCATTAGTTGTTATTTCTAAATTTGGCTTTACTGAATGTAATGTGGTCAGCTTGGCTGTCAATTTTGATTGTACTATCTCCTACAGTGGCAGTTAAACAGCCTGTTCAATAATTTGTCGTGTTATAAACATTGCTATTTTAAAAAACTATTTTTAGTTTCATTTCCTACTTTGTGGTACTTCCCTTCATGTCTTTAGTAGGTAAAGGTATTTAGTTGTATTGTAATATCTTGTCATAGACTTGAAAAGGTGATTTTTAAGCTTCAAATGGAGTAAGTTCTATGAAATAATGCTAGTGTTACTCATGGGATGAGTTAATTTATTTCTTAGTTAATAACAAGTAGGGACTTAGAAAGTGTCAGTTGTTTAGATGTAGTGGAAGTGCAGAAACCTTGCATCTTCCTAAACTAATTTTCCATTACAATGCTGATTAAGAATGAGAGTCATATGTGAACATACAGAAATGTTATGGCATGGATACATTATTGCATCTTTCTACTAGTAAATGGTATGACAATTTTTACTATGTTTCCATATGCGTTTTAGAAAAACTATTTTACACTTAAGGTAATAATCATCTTCCTTAAACCAAACTTCAGGTCAATGCATTATTTATTTACTTTTACCATTGTCAATGTTAGTTTTGTGTTTTCAGCTTTATTGATTGCCCTGAGGTAGATTCAGTTTACTAAATTTATTGAGTGCCTACTTTGCATGTTTGATGGAGATGGGGATGCTTTTATTTCTATTTCTCCTCCTTTCTCTTACTTTTTCCTTTAAAATATCTCTCAAGTTACTTTAAGACAGAAATGCTTATCTTGGGCTTATGAAGGGTTTTATGTTTCTATAAACCCCTCTGGAATTATATGAAAAATT